TGAGAACACAGATGATCTCCAGATGTATATGCATAGCTCTAATCAACCTTAGAGTAGTGAAGTCTCTCTCTCTCCCTCTTTTGCTCACTCTATTCTCAGCCTTCTTTTCTGTGCTTGTATTATATAGTTCATATTAGTATTATTTGCTATTTGTGATTATGTTTGCCATTACTACTATGGTTTACTTTGTATCTATTGTATATATGGGTTTTGTATGATTCTGTTACATATATTGATTATTACCCTTTTAAACATTTTTAGATAAAGTTTTATTTATAGTACCTTAGGGGGGATGTAGACGGGCGGCCGCGGGCCGCCCTGAGAAGCAGTGGATTGGGGCCGAGGCTGCCCCATGCCTCAGCCCCAATCCACTCTTCTGCCGGCCCAGGAAGGAGCGCTAAAATAGCGCTCCTTCCTCAAGGTGCAGAAAGGGCACCATAAGAGGCCTTGCGCGCCTCTGCCACGTCTCTTCCATCACAGTGTGTCTGGATGCTGCAACGGAAGGATGTCATTGGAGCGCTCGCCGTGTGCAACAGCAGGTGCTCTGATGATGTCCTTGGGAAAGGGTTGGGGCAGCTGGTGTCCAGTTGCTCCTCCCCTTCTTCCCTGCCTCTAAGACAGCGCAAAGCGCCGTCTGTAGAGATCCTTAGTCTCATTTCATCTCTTTTCAAATCCATTGTCCCAACACAGGTTTGGTCAGGATTTTATTTAAAAATAAACTGTGAAAAAGAACTCAAAATCATATTGTAAAATTGAGGTATTAAACAATTGGAATCTTTGCGATATATCAAAACATAAGTCAATGTATATAAATAGAATAAATAAAGGCTGGGAGGAAATGGCATCAGGAGCTTCCATTAGAACAGCTTAATAGATATCCCAATTCAGAAACTAAGGCCAAAGTGTGAAAAGCTATATAGGCTAAGTGCTTCAAAGTATGCTCCCTTATGAATATCGCACTCATGAATAATGCTATCTGAATCTTTCACTCACCTCAAAAAGTTTATCACATTCTGTTATCATGTGTGCAAGTCCCTGAGTAGCTGCCAGGTTTTCACTGAGATCTTTCTGATCTGGCTTCCCAGATGCATATTTCTTCTGTATTACTCTGAAAATGAATTCAGCAGCTCAAGTGAGATAAAGGAGCAATTTTTTTTAATATGAAAATAAAAACTGTGACACATCTCCTTTTGGTACCAAACTAGAGACAGTTCTTTATAACTCTACTTTTATCACACCACAGAGTTGAGGAAAGACTCTTTCTTTACTTCTGTGGAAGGAAGGATACTTAAATTTTCTAAAGGAGTAAAGTAAGATGTCAAGCTGATTACTGGAGATTGGATGCAAAAGTTGGAAGCAAAGAAGAATCAAAAATAGTAGGCAGATTTGGACTAGGTAAAAGAAATGAAACAAGTGAGTGTGTGATAGATTTTCGTGAAGCCAACAACCTATTCATTTCTAACACATTCTTCATACAACCAGAAAGAAGGCTATACACATGGACATCACCAGATGGTCAACACAAAAACCAAACAGATTACATAATTGGAAGTAAGAGATGGCGAAGCTCCATACTGGTAGCCAAGATTAGACCAGGCACTGACTGTGGGCACAGATAATGAATTACTCATATAAAAAATAATAAAATAAAAGTAAGACTCAAGAAGAAAACAAAATCAGTGATTATACCAAAAGATGATCTGAATAATATGACAACAGAATTTATTGACAACATAAGAAACAGATTTGCGCTACTAAGCATAATAGACCGAGAACTAGAGGAACTATGGCCTGAAGCCAGGGACATAATAAAAGAAGAATGCAGACAGACACTTTCAAGAGTCAAAAAGAAAGAGATGAAACCATGGATGACAGATAAAACTCTACAAGCAATAAAGGAAAGAAGGGAAGAAAAACAAAGAAGGGGATAGTAGCAAACTAAGAACCATGAATACAACAGTACAACAGCTAGTCCAAAAAGATAAAGAAAACTACTACAATGAACAGTGCAGAGAATTAGAAAACAATAAAAAGAGACTTATTCCACAAGATTCGGGAAATCAAAGGAGAATTCAAACCAAGGACTGGGACACTCTATGACAATAAAAATAACACAATTCAATGCCAGGAAGGAATAAAATGACGTTGTATGCAATACACAAAAGAGCTTTATAAAAGAGATGACATGAAAATGAAGGACATGGGATGAAGGACACATAGGATAAAGAGTATTATGAAGATGAACCCCAAATTCTAAAAAGTGAAGTGGAAGCTGCAATAAGAGAAATGGCAAAACAACAACAACCCCAAATCACCAGGAACAGATGAAATTGCAATTGGATTGCTGCAATCCACACTGACAGAGTCAACTCTAGTGCTAACCAATTTATGTCAACAGATATGGAAAACAAAATGATGGCTAACAGATTGGAAATGATCAA